CAAATCTTCCCATTTCAAACGTTAGCACTATGACCCGTTCCACTTTCCACTTCAATAAACAACAAAGAAGGAATACTTAAAAAATTTATTTAAGGAGCGGAACGATATATACATGGGTAGTTAGGAGGTATTCAGCAGTCTGCGAGGTTACTGAGGATTAATCATGTACGTGGCGCTCCTCATGAGCCCTAGCGTACCTGTCTGGCAGCAGTCTGTGTACCCTTTCCGAGTTTGACTGCGCCAGTGACTGCATTTCACACAACATTGCAGAACTGAGCATTCGTATTTCTCTAATGCCCACAGTGACCTGGTTACGTTCAGTGTGCATGTGGTTGTAGCTTCATAACCGTCTTGTAGAGTGACGAAACACATCTGCAAAGAAGCCAGTTAAAGTCTCAGAAGACCTACCAAAGTCATGAGACAGAAATCTGTGCACATGAACAAATGACGGCAGGGCATAAGCATCACAGTGCTGGTGTGACAGGAGCATTTACAGTCATGCTTGTCGACCACGTAGCATTTCTGCCGTTCTTGAAAGACTACGGGAACTGACTGCGAACAGCTCCCCGCTCCGCTGCACTATTGTCGACAACAAAAGTCACGATTCGTGATGTTTCAACCATGATGGTCTTAAAAGACCTCAACACATACTCCACATCCATCAGTTCTCGGTGAGTTAACCTATACATCACAAGGAAGCTGCGGTAGAGGCCATCCGTGATAACCAGCTGATAAAGCGGGTGGCGAAAAAACGGAATTATTAATCTTAGCTAAATACCTTTCCTTAGAGGTGTTGTATGTAGAATCTATACCGACAGCTTCCGCAAATTTCCTGTATTTTGTTATCATTTCCCGAGTTGCAAAACTAAACATCTTGACTCTTCTATCTCCGTCCAGTGAGTACCACACCAACCCTCTCTCTTGGATTTCCGATACCGGTGAATCTACGTCACGAAGTCCTAAACATATAGAATAAACATAGCACATTACTGGGATATACCATTTCCGGGAAATTTCTATAGATATCGTACGTTATCAGCTTACCGGAATCGACATCAACAATATCAACGACTTGACTTGTTGGTGCGTTACGTTCGATAAGCGGTAGAATGCTCACTCACTCGTCACCACTAAGCCTTCAAACATGTGGTTCCACAGACATCAGCTGCTCGGAAGATAATTCGTGGTCGTGTACAGTGTTGACAGGTTCTACAACTTCATAACGCCCGAAATTCAGTCTAATTCGGAAGGTGAATGGGCAACCCAAGAGCTTAGATCTGTAATACATTTGTTATGGATTCTATTGCATCACTTACTGTGATTTTGACTACTTACTACCTTCTGTCTTTCTCCACCGACCAACATGGCAACCTAAAACAGCATACCGGTAATTATGCGCTGGGTCTGCATGATTGTTATCGTCCCTATTTGGGCGACAATCACGAATCCTATACAGACTGTTAGTTTCCTTTGACATTTAATGATGACCCCACTAATTGTACAACTTACATTTTTAAATCGTTTACTGCATGCTTCACACTCACGCCATGTTTGTAAGTTTCCGTTCATCACAAGTTGCCTGAATTCAGCTACGAAATTTACTGGTCCAACATTCGATCTGAAGGACATTTTAATGTTGCTTCACAAATGCTGATAGTTCGGCTCAAGGACGAAGCCTCAACGTTTCCAAAATTAGAAATTACCGCTTTTTCTTTTATAAGGGCTATATCGCACTGACCAATCAGCGCTTTATCTCACTCGCGCGAAATAGAAAATTACATTTTGGAGGTCACAATTACGTCCGGCGACTGGCGCTATTGATGCAACTCAAGGATATGAAGCTTGTCTTCGAGGATCAATACGCATAGCAACAGACGTTTGGACCTAACTGTAGCCTTATATTTGTTTGTATATGTATATACATATATTTTCTCTCCCGTGTAATTGTAAAGAATGTTGCTTTTATAAAAGAAATTTCTAGGAACTTTCTAGTGCTTCTTTAATTGTTATCAGGTTGAGTGCCCGTGACTACCCATTCAATTATTTAAAAGGATTTATGAAAGCAATATTTTTTTATTTAGAATAAAGAGTTGTACGAAAACGTGCTATCTTTACAAGCAATATCTGAATGTTAGTGTTTTCAGTGGCAAAATCCTGAAATAAATCGTCACACCATGTACAGTTTCCTTGAGTTATTATTACTAGAGTAGGCAATTGTCTGTTTACTAGTTCTCAAGTGTCATTCGCAGTCGTTTTGCTAAGTTACATTCATAACCACTGACAGTTCCTCAAAAAAGCTATCAGCATCATGACGGCAATTTCACTTGCCATCAAAATGTTAAGGATAGCAAAAAACTTTTAACATGTCAACTTATTTACCTCAGAAAGGATAACACAAAATACGGCAAAATAAATATTTATATTACTGCTGAAACACCCGGGAGCCAAAAAAGAAAAAAATTACAAAGTGAAGTTAAAGTGCTGTGAAAGATGAATTTCCAGTGTCGATTAGCAATTAAATATTGGAAAGATGTTTTTGCCTAAAGCTAAATACCTGTCTAATTAAACATACCCAACATTCCCTGCTTAAACACATAACGTTTAAGTAAAACCAAGAACTACGTCTGTTATAGCCGGATCACAAGCAGTTTAAGCCACTTTTTACCACAGCAAGGCATGTCCATCAAAGAAAACAGGCTAAGCGCAAAAAAAAATTAAAAGCCATTCGTTTTGACAAGTCTTTAACCGGTTCTTACCTTTGAGATATCGGGTGATCGAAAAATCACCAGCGTCCTACGGCCGTCTACAGCCAGCCATTGAATGAAGTTAAACAAAATGAGTGATCAACCTTTTTGAATACATTAGAAGAACAAAATCAAAACACACACTACCTTGTTTTTCTCCACTTGTTATGGGATTGGTTTTAAAGCGTGGTTATTTATCTTAAATACAATTACTTAAAAATGAGGTTAACCAGTCCTTTGGCTAGTCTTTAAGTCCATATAATTAAATCTTAGGCACTTGCAGCTTTTACCTACTGTATGAAGAGCCTTGCTGAGGTCGAAACATACTGTTAAGATAACCAGACCGACACCCTCGACCTCTGCTTTATAATAAAAATATGCATATAGTAGGTCGTACATGAATATGACTTTACAAAGCCAAGCTGGAAACGGGCTATAAGTTCTCCCAGTAGGAGAAAGCCAGATACAGAATTTAAGACGAGCTTTCAAAAACCCTTAATGTAAGAGAATTAGTGTTTATGGGTCTCTAGCCCACAACACATGAATGGGGTAGAGATTTGTGTCTGAGACTTATGACTGCAAGTTTCTACGCCACTTGTTTGGTTCCGGTCAGTAGGGATGCATAAAATACCCTAAGAATAAGTAGTAGAATGTCTTCATTCCCATATTTTAAAACATGACGGAGTCATGTCGAGTCACGGGATGTTGAAACGCTTCAAAGAAATAACTGCTTTTTGAATATAACCTGGTGAGAAGCTGACTTTGTCCAGAGAGGTTGATGCTTTAGAGGAGGTGGTGGTAGGCGCATCATCATTTCTGGTTTATGCATTCGCTACGTAGGCTCCAACGAACCCAGAAATGTCAGTGCGATCACTGCTAATGTTCCCAATGTCTTGGATCACAAGTATGTCAAGTTTGCGAAAATTTTCAGGGACCATCCTGGTACGAACCTGACAGACGCAGAGGCCAATCACTAATTATTCATACTTGTGATATGCCCACGAATACGAGGCCAGGGAAGAACACAATAACGTGGTCGAATGGAATGGTATGTTTGCAAGGTCGTGCCGAGATACAGATGCATTCCAACTAACCTGCTGGAGGGTCGATTACTAGCAGTGCAACGAAACACGACAGGATGCCAAACAGCGAGGATGCTTGACTGGGTGCCTTCAGCTTAGCAAGTCCAGTTAAACTGCGAAGGTCAACATCAATGCTGAACCTCATCGAACCCCAGGCTATTGATTCTGGAGGAGCGCGTGACGCTGCAAGCTCAGTCTTTTGCGATGATGCCCTACAGATTTAACCAACATTAGAGGTAACGTTAAGGCCATCGGTTTCTTCTTTGGACGAATTTTTTATCGCTAGTTTCTTGCACTTTTGGGTGACTATTTACAAGCGTTGAGAAGTTCTTTTACGTGAAGTATTGTTGGTCGAGTCTGCGCACTTCAACCTTTGAGCAGGTAGGAATAAAAGTTTCTCCTTTTTATTCTGTGTCTGCGCTTCGTTGCAGGTTTGGAAACTAGTTCACCAAAACACAGTGAGAAATTGGTGCATAATTCTATAACGCAAATGTCTGAGTCACTGCATGAAAAGAATAGTTCTCGGGCTAAGAAGTAGATAAAGTGGGCGGATTTTCCCCACCTGGCTCTGTGGAATCACATGACTATCTTACGTCCAGCAGGTTGTCTAACAGTGTATGTGTAGTTAGTGTAGAAGAAGAGACAATTGCATTTTGGTCATCGTCTGTGAGTGTCGGACTAATATGTGAACGGCCTATTTTGAACTCACCAGATGGGCGTGCCCGCACTCCAGTGAGTGGATATTGTTCCCACTGAGACTTGAACTCCGGATTACAAGTACCAACAAATGATAATTAATTTATTTGTCATGTATTTCACACAGTCAAACTGGATGACGTTTCTAACAGATTTTATTATTCATATTTATATCGAACATCATACAATTAAGAATAATATTATTACATATCAAAAACCCCCCTAAATAACAAAGTAAGAACACAATAAACAGAATAATGGATTATCTCACCGTGGATCTTTTGACTACCTCTTGGAGCAAATTTTAAGACGATTATGTGACAACAGTACGCAAAGGGAAGAACGGCTTGTACTCCCAAACAAACAGTGAAATTTAGTATTTTGTAACCGAATAACCTGAAAAATACTTTCAGATTTGCAGCGAAGGATAAAATGTCTAGAAGATCGAGAAAAGTGTTACCAGCATAAGTAGATGCATTCACATTTTTATAACATGCGCACATTCATTATCACTATTGTTATTAAACTCAATTTTACAACAACATTTATAAAACTGAGTTGAAGTATCAAATGATAATCGATCACATAAATAAAGTTTGGTCAAAAGGCTGGTTTTCAGCAAACAAAAATTCCCTGCAACTTTCAAAATCCCTGTTATACTGAACGGTGTACGAGCATGTGGTAGGAAACCTTGAGTAGAAGCACTTTGACCTTCTCTTTCTTGCCGATATTTGGAATTCAGTAGAGTCATATGCAATTTTACAGAATTGTCTGCACGATAAGGTCCAGTACTAGTTAAATTTTTGTCGGCAAATAAACTCGATAGCTCATTGGCAATAGACTGTAGTCGCTGAAAATCAGGAGAATCAGCCAACTGTGTAACAAAAGAGAATTAAACAGAATAGCAGTGAATTTTTCTAAAAGAGTAACTTTACCGATATATGAAGGCAAATCAGATTACACCACCTTAAAACACATTCTACAGAGAGATATATATTGTCACGATGAATATGTTACAAACTTTTGTTACAATCAGTCCATGTAGTCTCAGCTAACAGTAATCATCGTACATCCTGTGTAAGTTAACTATGGACGAACTTAAAAAATTTGTAATTTAAAAACTGTATGTGTGGACCGAAAATTCCACGAACAGTTAACACTAAAAAGGTGTAAAGTAATCAAGAAGAAATTGATACGATAAATAGTTAATCATTTCTTTATGCTACACTTCGCAGTAGAAGAATTAGATATGAGAATATGTCATAGTAAGTACAGAAAAGATATGAGAAAAAATGGGTACGTAATTTGAAAATTACGATAGCCAGTGGAAAGACAGCCTCACATCAAAAATGAATTCAACTATACCAACCACTATGACTAGTCTTGAAGTGTCACATAATTTCTTTAATCAACAGTCTCTGATTTCTTGAATAGCTTAGATGACGACTTATTTTGGTCATGCCGGAACATTTTACACACAAGCGCTACTCCATCCAGTTAGTAGAAATTCACAACTATATCGAATAAACTTTTTACCTTATCTAGAAACTTACCTCGAAAATCAAAACCTCTATATAAGTGAATGAAATATATGCAAGTAAAAGTGTATTTCAAAGACATCAGTGACCTATTATCTGTTGCTCAATTTTAACTAGTATATCTCTCAACTATGAAGAAAGTCTATATCAAGCAGCATAAATGCTTAAGAAACAAAAGCCAATTATAGATCTGCACAATTCCGTTTCAACAGCTAGAACAACATACTGCATAGTATAGACCATGTTCATTGTGATGGCAACTATTGTTTTGTCAGTCAAGTGCTACAATACTTCTTTTGTCCATACTACGTAAGAATTTCATCCATATGGTTAGCTAACAACCGTACAACTGAAATCTACTTGAAATCAACTTGATGCGATATGATAGCACTATCGTGAATTGCTACTGGAAAGTTAAAGTTTGACGTATATACTTGACATTTTAGTAAAACAGAAATCAGCATATATTTTGATATGAGCTGATAAATTACCAGAGATGAAAGCAGTTAGTCCTGACCAAAGCAGCGAATGTTTAGAGCTTCCACTGGGAGTATGTGTGATAGTCGTGGTTTGGCAGACTGGTTTTATTGAAGCTGGATGATGATTAAAAGCCAATTCAAACCTGGGTAGCGGCAGGATTCGGATCACTAGCCTTCGGAATACCGATCTGTCGCTCTATTAACTGAACAATAAGATCCAGTTGCTAAGCAGAGCTTCACTTCAATCACTGAAGGTGGCTGTCATGAGAATTCATTATACGTAAATGTCCGTTTATCTTGAAATGATGGGGAATATTTGTAGCTCAGGAGGAGGATTTTTGATGGTGTTATATTCTCTGAGCTGAAGGGTTTAGGGGTGAAGCTTTCATTGCCAGTCTAGACAATATCAAAAGCACAAACTTCAAAAAGAAGTCCATGGCAGGCACACCATCTATCCCTCCAGATTGTATCGTCCTAATCAGAATTTGAGAAAATGAAAGACGATAAAACCACTGGTACCAAATACCTTAAACAAAAGTATACCATATTCATAAGCGTATATAAGTCAAAAAGACAAACGTTTACAGAAGTGATCGGGAAAAGAAAGCACCAAAATAAGATTACATTCAAAAGATTTCATAGGAGACGAAAAACTACACGACTGTTAAGATTGATTTTAGTTGTTAACATGTATGAATCTTGATCCAATCTAGTATTTCATGATCTAGTTAAGAGATATTAACCTTACAGTTATTTTTTACTCCACAGCGTCGAATGATGAACTGGTCGTTTCACCACCAATAGTCCGTGGAAAAGCCAAAATAACGGCCGCTGGAAGAGTATATGCATACCCAAACCAAATTTCTCTGCGTTTATTTTGTACCAGTTTCATGAAAAATGAAAGCATAAAACAGAATTTTAAATTTTAAATTACTCCCTCCAACACCAATATACTCCAAAGTAACCATTTCACTGATAGTTGCCATACAGACGTGACAGGTCAGCATTCATACCAAAATGACCCAACAAGCTATACCAGCTGCAAAGCTTGTTCCTAGAGTTCCCATCACATCAGAAACATCTGATGGATAGTACCAAGATAAAACCAATGACTGTTATAGTGTGAGTAGCTGGGACACGATATGAGAACGATGGAGAAGTTGAAATGCTGGCTAAATATGGTGGGGCACTAAGGTGTTTCTCAGAGACAAACTGCATTCTATGCTTGCGTTGCCTTTCCAATACCAACATGGAATTATAAAATGTCGGCCAAGAACTTAGTACACTCCTCTTAAAGCATCTTTCGGCGCAAATAGTTTAGGATGGTAATGATACTCAATAAAAACACTACTAAAACTCCGACTTACAAAAACTCATATGTAACCAATCAAGAGCAGATATCATACACGATCAGAAAAATGCAAAAACACAATCCATTTTTCCACTCGACATCCACTGAATGGGACCTCTCCTGGTTAACTAGTTCACTAGTTACTAGCCGGTCCTAAGCCCAGGTAAAGAGGGAAGGTTGGGTGCAGGGCTAGCAACCCTACACCGTAAAACAAATCCAATCCCTAAAGAAACTCCAAAGCACAGACAAGATATAAAAAATTAAAACAAACTTATTCCTCGCTGGAATCGGAGAGACGAAATGACGCCAGTTGGTGAAAGCCTGCTCTAAGGAAGCCAATTGGCTGATGTGTCTTCTCTCGATGAAAGCGAAAGTAAACATGGGGACATGGAATGTCCACACCATGTATGAACCTACCAAGACTGCCCAGATTGCATAAGAGACGAGGAGGTACGGCATGGAAGTGCTTGGAATCTGCGAAAGCAGGTGGAATGGAAGTGGACTCTCAAAACTGTCACCTGGAGAGTCAATGATCTACTCCGATATTGTCACGCAAACGACAACCACGAGTAAACTGAGTTTTGGAATGGCTATCATGATGTCCTCGAGAGCACTGAAGGCTCTCATACAGTGAGAACCAATCTTTTCCAGGGTCATGACAGCAAGATTCAACTAAAAAGGAAGGAAAGTCACAGTCATTCAATGCTACGCGCCAACAAATAATGCAGATCAAGAGAAGGAGGAGGAATTCTACAGATAACTGCAATCAGTACAGGACAAGACCCCACTGAAGATGGAGACGTTAAAACTGTAATGGGTAATATGAATGTCAAACTCGGAGCAGACAACACACGAAGAGAACTCATCATGGGTCGAGAAGCACTCGGTGAAATGAATGAGAACGGAGAACTGTGCAGATTTCTGCGCACCCAACGATTTGGTTATTGGAGGCAGTGTGTACAAACACAAGAAGGTTCACAAAGCGACATGGATTTCACCAAATGGACACACCAAAAATCAGATCGACTTCATCTCAATCTGAAGAAAGTGGTGATGGAGATGCAGCCTACTTGACACAAGATCAAGAAGAAGAGCAGATGCAGGCTCACACCACTCACTATCTAGTGCAAGGAACCTTCAAATCAAGTTAAAAGCCTTCGAGGAATTTGGTGACAGACCACAGTTCAAGTTTAACACCTTGAACGGAAACTGAAGGACGAAACTCCTAAGGAAATCTTCACATCAGCCAGTCATCAGGAAAAAATGGGAGGTATTGAGTAACGTCCCTAAAGAAACCCGCGTGGAAGAACACTAGAACTCTTTTAAAGGGATATGGAAAGAGAACTGCATAACTATATTAGGAAGGAAAAGGAAACAAGAGAAGGAATGAATCTCGATGGACACATGGAAGCTGATAGAAGTGAGGAAGATGGTGAAGCAGATGAACCAGTGCAAGGATGCACAACGAAAAGATGAACTGAGTACAACCTATACAGCACTACAATGGACAAAGAAGTGAAGAAGAGTGCGCGCTAAGACAAAAGACACTTACATAACACATTGGCAAGTGAAGCAGAACAGACTACAGATGGGAGAGGCAGAGACCTGACAAAATTATATCAAATAACCAAGTTACTATAGGGAGGGAAGAAATCAACTCAGATGAAACCAATGAGAGATAGTGAAGGAAACCTAGTTACCAAAGAGGAGAAACAAAGGAAACGATGGGCTGACCACTTCAAAAAGCTCTCGAATCGACCACCACTTGCACTTCGTCCAGAATTACCACCAGTAACGGTAGAACTACCAGTGAACACAGGCCCTCCGACAAAAGCAGAAGTCCTGAATGCCATATAATTGCTGAAATTCGGGAAAGCAGCAGGACCAGATGGAATTCCGCCAGGAGCGCTGAAAACAAACACAGAGACAATAGCAGATATGCTCATACCATTATTCCAGAAGGAAAGGTATCTTCTGATTGGAAGAACGGCTACCTTGTCAAACTCCCGAAGGGCGACCTAAGTATTTGCAAGAACTGGAACGAAATCATGCTGCTGTCCCCACCCACCCCAAGCAAAATATTATGCCGTATCATGTGCGGATCAAATTGCAAAGCTACACCACGCATCATCATAGAACAGAGCATAGAATCCCAGTCAACTCTCTACCTCAATTTCATCGACTTTGAAGAGGCTATGCTTCAATAGCGTCGACCGACAAGTAATTTGGCAGTTTATTCAACATTACGGAGTGCCACTAATTTTTATTAACCTCATTCAACAGCTATATGAAGACGTCACATGCCAAGTAATCCACAATGGAAAGCTCAGCGACGCCTTTGAAGTGAAGACAGGAGTAAGTCAAGGCTGCCGCCTACTATCACTCATCACCTTCCTGATTGTGGTCGACTCGATCATGCAGCAAACAGTGAGGAGCGAGAAGATGGGCATACGCTGGCTGGACCGATGAGAAGACCTCAGGAGAAGATTTGGATTTCGCCGATGAT